TTTTATAATCATCTTAGTGATTATAGAACCATATCACAATTGATACTCTAAGGACACCTTAGTACACTATCATGGCTAAGAAGAGGAATAAGGAATTGTTGAAATGGTTAAATAAAAAAGGTGAATCATACTTCATTCCAAAATCGAGTCTTAGAGTCATACTCCAAGATTGTGACTTGAGTGACATAATCTTTAGTAGAAAAGTCTCTTACTCCTGCACGTTTGAAATTGGTAACTTGTGATGTCTTGGATAAGACAAAGACCAACTAAGACCGATTGTGTGGAGTGTTTGTCTTGATAAGAACCCGCACTAACTCTTGAATATTTGTTTGTCAAGGAATGTTTCTTGACAAGAGAATCTTATATGTCAAGAGGTTAGTGGGAGTCTTAATGATCTTGAAAGGTTTCAAGAGTTAATCAAGAGTAAACCCATTGTTAATCACTAGCACACGACTTGAGGTTTATAACCTATCGTGTTGACAAATTCTTGTTTCTAATCCATTCCAGTTAAGTTAGCTATGCATGTGAGTTCTATGAGTTCTCATTTGACTGCATGTAGGGAAAAGCACCTTGATCAATGAAAGTACATTAATCGGTAAAGGTGAGCTGCTGAACAACTTGAAAGACATGGTAGGCCCTTGTGCTGCTAAGTGGCAAGAAATTAAGAATGAACAAGTTCAGTCCATATAAGTTGGGATTTGTCACAAACATTGTCTTATGATTATGATTATGACAAATTCACATGGATGGGAACACATACACCATAAAATCTAAGAAGATTTTAAGGAGATAGCGATTGTGTAAATTGCATTCTCAAATTTGATTATGATTACGGCATCCCTCTTCATAGTTCGAATTGTGAGTTTTGGCAATTAGTCTGAACATTTGGGACTTATTGATATAAGTTCTAGAAAAGTTTAGACACACATATGAGCTATCTAAGGAAAGGTGTATGAGTTTGAGAAGCTTATATAAAGTCTTATCGAAGCATCTCATGTCAGAAATATGAACTTTGGTTAAGGAAGTCAATAAGTATTGATTTCTAGAAGTCCATCTGATTTCTGAATACATGTCAAAGCTAGTGGGAGCATAAGTGTTATGCTGGTAAGGAAATAATTATCATGTCAGTTGGAGCATGATTATTATGGTAAGTATTGCGAGTTAGCAATATTAATTATAGAAAACAAAAGTTTCAATTCGCAAAGTTGCAGAGGTTGAAAGGTTGTTTTGCTATAATTAAAGGAGAGAATATTATACTTCATTTCAAATCTAAAAGCTTAGATCGAGAAATTTTAATCAAATTTAGTCAAAGGACATATATGAACGTTATGTTGAAAAGGTTCAACATAAGGAAATTCTATATATGGCAATATTCTAGCAGGAGACTGATAAAGTATCATGTCTTTATGTAAGACATTATGAATCGTATCCCATACACTTCGGGTATAAGATCGATTGCATATGCTGTAATGTTCGACCGTTCTGATTTTCCAAGTGCTTAGGGAATTAAGAGGGAAAAAGGACCAGAACCGGATATGACTAAAATAATTAAACAACTGTCAAGGACGATCTGAGGTTCGCTAAGGATTGGTTGCTTGTGGGCAGTTGGAAGTATAGTAATGGATGTACCATATTGGCATTATTATGAATAGATAGGACTCTATTAAAAATGAGTTGTCATATGGGAAATATGGAAATGTTTCCATATGGGAATTGGATATTGAGAATCTATGTAGATTAGAAACTTTTATGCTGGAAGGATGTTCAAAGGAATGTACTTTGAATGTGAGACTTCATATCTATGGAGTTGTCTTGTAACAATCTTCAATAGAGCACTTTGTAATTTCATTGGTAAAGTCTTGGTGACTTTGGTGCTATGACATTACAAAAGGATCATTGCATAAAATGTTAGAATCTAACATATACTAATAGTGGCAAGAATTTAGTATTCTTACACTTGTGATAAGGATTAGGAATTGTGAAATGAGCATCAATGGAAATGTTTTCAATTGATCTATTTCACAAAGTAAGGACCATAAGTAAACATAGTGTGCATGCTTGGAGCATGGGATAACTATTGTTTCAATTCAAGTATTAAGTTGATTATTCGAAACAATATACAATGAATAATGTGTAATCGATATGGTGATTAAATAATAAGTGTTTTATTTATACTCACAAGTTTGAGACCATATTGGATTCGATTATTCTTGTGTTTCACTTTGCATGTTTTGACTTCCAGAATAACTAGGTTATTCAAACATCCACAGTCGATCATACATTGAAAGTAGGTATTGAGGCAATACTGTCATGAATCCGACTGTAGATTGTCTAAAGTGTTTAGACATAGAAAAAGTCTGCTGCAGTCTTCATGAGTGCTCCTGAAATAAGATTTGAGTATTAGATTAAACCCACGTTCACTTGAATCGCTTCATGGATTTTATCACGAGTGATTAGCGAGACGATAATATCTTATATTCTTGAAACGGAGAGATATGAGTTGCAGTTTACAAGTCGGTTGCACATTGATAATACGTAAACACACCAGTAACTTGGTGTTATAAAACGTATTGTTGTGTGTGATTTGATAAGTAAATAGAGCAAGCATATGAGTCGAAGTTTATCTGTTCCTTTTATCCAAAGTGGATAAAAGCGATATCTGTGGGCCCCTCGATGATTTAGTGATGACACCATAAGCGTTTGGCCAAGTCTGGACTAATTTGATGTGTTCAATTGTAGTCTGTTGTCAGTCGTCATAAATCAGAAATCAGGAAACAACACATGAACAGAGAGTATGATTAAAATCCATGTCAGTTCATACGATATCTTGAGAATGGAGGAATATATGATCCCTTATCTAAAGGACGCGTTGCTGATAAGATCAGAGTTCGATAGCGGCTTTTGAAAGCTACGATTGCTAATCAGATTCTGAAGTCATACACAATAATAGTTATTAGACTTATCCAAGTGAGAGACTATTGGATTAGGTGTCTAAGCCCATAACTATTTTGGTATGTACTTGATTTGATTATGAGCATGGTCCTTTTGGGTTGCCTTCACTCATGCAACTTGATAGGATGACAAGAGGAGAGAGAGAGAGTAATTTATTATGTGAATAATAAATTAGTACTCAAAATGGTTTTATTAATATATTACAAGATTAATATATTATTTGGAAATCACATTATTTAATTAGTATTGATCATAAATTGATTTGGAATTAATTTGATGATCAAAAGAGACTGATTAAATAAAGGGGACTGATATTGTAATTATTTGATAGTTGCAATTGGGGTGATGGATTACCTTAGAATAAGGTTGGACGAATTCTATGGGAAGCCCATAAGGAATTCGTCCAAGGGCTATTCTAGAAGGGGTCCATGGGCTGCTTAAGGCTGCTTAAGGCATAAGCAGTCACATTAGGGTTTCCACCTAAAACCCTAGGAGCCACAAGTATAAATAGACCCCATTACAAGGGATTTTCGTCCAAGGCTTTATGAAACCCTAAGAGTGGCGAAAATCCTTCTCTCCTACTTCATCCTTTGCATAGAGTGTTTGTGACTCCATTAGAGGTGCAACACTTGGGGCACTAGGCTTTCAGAAGTCAAGATCAAGAAGGATTAAACTTGTTATTACTACATAATAAGAGAGGTAAAGATTCTAACCCTAATCATATGTCAATTTCGAAATATGTATGCTAGTTGTAGGGTTATTGCTTTGGTATTCAATGTTGTATGTTCAAATTAGAAAAACCTAGATCAAAGCAATTAAGGTTGCATGTACACCATAAGAATGATGTTATGCTCAAAACCCAACAACTACATCACTTCCCCGTGTATGCTCAACCCTTATATGCCCTACAACCTAATTAGGGATGAGAGTGGGTCCAAACTCGGACCGGTAGACCCAAACCCAGAAAACTCGGAAACCGGTTAACGAGATTTTGTAGGACCGAAAACCGGACCGGTATATAGGAAACGGTTCCGGTTCGGTTTCAGGTAAGGTACCGGATAAAGTGGGTCTAGAACCGGAAAACCCGGAAACATCAAAGTGGGTCGAATGGAACTGGATAAAGTGGGTCTAGAACCGGAAAACCCGAAAAAACCGGAAATTTTTGGTAATTACTTAGTGGTTGAACTTTGAAAAATTTCAACTTTGATATCCCAACTTTGGGGGCTGTAAGTCATTAAATACTAAACCAAAAATGATATACTTATAGTCTAAAATCATGTAGAAACTCTAAACTACACGTTGCAAAAAACCTCATATGATAATTCGACTTCAAACGGATTAGATATGCATGTTTCAAAATTTTACAAAATACAAAAATAAAGCTGAAAAACAGAAAATTCGCAGCTTTGATATCCCGACTTTGGGAGACTATAAATCAATGAATATGAAACCAGAAATGACAAAATTAAAGTCTAAAATCATGTACAAACTCTATACTACACTTTGGAAAAAACCGCATGCTATTCCAACTTCAAACGAATTAGATATGCATGTTTTAAAGCTATCACAGCATACCAAAAAAAAAAAATGAAAAACATAAAATTTCCACCATTGATATCCCGACTTTGAGAGACTGTAAGTCAATGAATATAAACCAAAAAATGACAAAGTTATAGTCTAAAATCATGTACAAACTATAAACTACACTCTGGAAAAACTTCATGCCAATTTGACTTCAAATGAATGAGATATGCATGTTTTAAATTTTTCACAGAAATCAGTTGCGACCCTAAAACCGGTTCCTGTTTCTAACACGGTTCTGGTTCTTAAACCCGGTTACCCGGACCCGAAACCCGGATAGAGCCATTCTTTAGACCCGAGACCCGGACCGGTTTTACATGTTCCTCGGTTGTGGTTCTAAATATCATCCCTAAACATATTTTAACAAAAATACAATCGAAGCAAAAAATGATCAATTTTATAATAAGTTAACGGTCTAAAATTAATGGTGTTAAAGCGAAAGAACTTGCCATAAGAACGTTTTTTGTTTGCAAGTTTGATATTTGAAGGACGAGAACCGCAAAGACCATCTTTCTGTGATCCCACCCAAATTCTTGTGCGTCTTTGAAGTTGGTGATTGCGATGCTACACGAACTCCTACTGTCACTGTTAGGCTACACAGGAGACCTAATCGTCGACGAGAGAGATCGGCAGTTATCCGTTGGTTTGTCTCCCGACGACCCCATCTCCAATCAATGCACCTTCAAGCTTGCTTCCGACATATCTTTTGTCGAGCCCAGCGAAAGGTATTTCTCATCATCTGCTGTTTTTTTTTTTTTCAATCTTTAAATTTCCCCAAATCACTAGGGTTTTAGAATTTCAATCTTTTTTTAAGAGTACGAGTTAAGTGATCGCTTGGTTGGTCGAATATGTTAGAGTCCGGGTCTGTGATAATCAAATAACTTGGATAATGAGAGGATTTGATAGACACTTCCCTTGGGTTGCACGAAATTGTTTTAGGATAATCCATACGAATGATAATCAACTTCGAGTTTAGGCACAAAACTTGAAGTCGTTGCTAGATTTGTGTAAATGTATGTATTATTTACACAAATCTAAACATGTGGTTATGGTTATGAATCACAGGGATATTATTGAGAAGACGATTGCTTTAGGGTTTTACTATCGTGAACTTGATCGATTTGCCACCAAGTCACGAAATTTAAGCTGGATAAGGCCCCGGAATGAGTCTCCTATGCCATACACTTCTGTCTTTCCAAAAGAGAAGATGGAGAATCAGAGTGTCTATAGGAGGGCCATTGCAAATGGCATTACAGAAATTCTTTCTGTTTACAGATCTGCCATTTTGCATATGGAGCAGAAGTTACTATCAGATCATCTACCCATCTTAGCTACAGTTACTCAAGGCCTGAACAAGGTGCAGTATTTTGCTCTCTTTGTATTACTGTTTTGTTTTTTCATGTTCTTTGAGCTCTTACTGATTGAAGTTTTTTTTTTTTTTTTAGTTTTTTGTTCTTCTGCCACCTCTATATGAGCTGATTCTAGAGATTGAGCGTGATGGCATTTGTGGAGGGAAGCTTCTTAATCTTCTACATAAACGATGTCACTGTGGGGTCCCAGAGTTGCAGACATGCATTCAGAGGTATTATATATATATTTTTTTATCAAAAAGAATATAAAAAAAACAAGCTATTAAACTTTTTCTATTGTGAACAGACTTCTTTGGCATGGACATCAGGTCATGTACAATCAACTTGCTTCCTGGATGGTGTATGGGATTCTTCATGATCAATATGGAGAATTTTTCATCTCAGAGTAATACTTTTTCTAAATGTTCTGTTTATGATACAATACTGTTTGTTGACAGCTGTCTAAATGATGATTTTGATTTTAATGTTTTTAGGAAAGAAGGAAACTCAGATATGAACATGACTGAGAAGTTAACACGTATGTCAGTTAATGATGGAACTTTAAGTGATTGGCATTTGGGATTTCATATTTCCTCGGTACTTAATAACTAATTTCCTTCTTTTTTTTTTTATGCTTTATTCAAAACTGCTAATTTTCATAAAAGTTTCTTCCAGGATATGTTGCCAGAGTATATTCCATTACACGTGGCAGAATCCATTCTATTTGCTGGAAAAGCAATTAGGGTTCTTCGTAATCCAAGTTCTGCATTCCGTTCTGTAGATGCAAAACATACAAAATTAATGGGAGATGAACTTCTGCCACAATCTGAAGCTGATAAGATTGAATCCATGCTTCAAAATCTTAAGGAATCATCCGAGTTTCACAAAAGATCATTTGAGGGTTCTGTTGATTCAATCAGAGCTATTGCAGCAAGTCATCTTTGGCAGGTGGAAATCTTTGCTAATTTTTTTTTTTTTACTTTTTATCTTGTCTCTATAGTCTGATTAATATCTTGGAACTTTAATTAATGTGTAATATGTGCAGCTTGTGGTTGTACGTGCTGATCTAAATGGACATTTGAAAGCCATCAAAGATTACTTCCTTCTTGCAAAAGGCGATTTCTTTCAGGTAATTGAATGAATGACCATTTTCGTCTTTTTATCTGTATTTTGCTATATTTTTTTTAATGTGAATTTAATAAGATTTTCACTGTGTATAAAATAGAGTTTTCTTGAGGAGAGCCGTCAGTTGATGCGTTTACCACCTCGACAGTCAACTGCTGAAGCTGATCTTCTGGTTCCATTCAGACTGGTAATTTTTTTTTTAAAATTTAATTTAAAAAAATGGATGCAGTAGAACCGATTTATTTCATTTTAAAATTTTAATATCTAGACATGGTGAATGGATTGAAATAAAATTTTGCATATTTGTAATGCAGGCAGTAACAAAGACTATCAGTGATGATGATAAGTATTTTTCAAGAGTAACTCTAAGGTAAAATAATGCTTTTTCTATTTCAGAATTACAACTGCAATCAAATAAATACTTACATAAATATTTATAAACTACTTCCAGGATGCCTGGTATTGGGGTCAAAGCAGATGTATCCAAGTCAAAATATGTTGATGGTGATTCAAGTTTGTTATCTGATACTTCAATGGAGATGTCACTTGATGGGTGGGATGGTATAGCCCTAGAATATTCCATTGATTGGCCCTTACAATTGTTCTTCACACAACAAGTTCTCTCCAGGTTTTCTTTCTGACATTTCATCAAACACCTTATGCTCAAACTCAAATCACAATCCTTATCCTTGTTTTATATAAAATATGAACAGGTATCGGAGGATTTTTCAGTATTTACTGAGGTTAAAGAGGACACAGATGGAATTAGAGAAGTCATGGGAATCAGTAATGCAGCAAGACCACTCTAATTTTTCCAAACGTGTAAATGGATCAAAATCAACATCAACATCACAACAGAGAAGACAATGCTTTAGGCCTATGTGGCGTGTTAGAGAGCATATGGCATTCTTGATTAGAAATCTTCAGTTTTATATCCAAGTTGATGTCATAGAATCTCAATGGAACGTATTACAAAACCATATACACGAGTCACGTGATTTCGCTCAGCTGGTTGACTTTCATCAAGAGTGAGCTACCTATATATATAATTCTTTTATAAAAATATATGTTTTTGCTTTTATCTTATTGTTAAATTAAATTGGTATTTTGTAGATACCTGTCAGCTTTGATTTCACAATCCTTCTTGGATATTGGCTCTGTATCAAGGATATTGGATGGAATCATGAAGCTTTGCTTGCAGTTTTGCTGGAAGATTGAAAACCAGGACACCAATGCAAGCACTGTTGAACTCGAACGTATAACCGAGGTAATTTTTTTGATGAGGGTATTCATGTCTTTTGACATCAATATTAGTTTTAAGATTTTTTTTTTGGGGTACAGGAATTTAACAAGAAGTCAAATTCGTTGTACACAATATTGCGAAGCAGCAGGCTTGCGGGAAGTCAGCGGGCCCCTTTTCTTAGGCGTTTCCTTTTGCGACTAAACTTTAATTCCTTCTTTGAGGTAATAGTAATTCTCTTTAGAATTATGTGTTGAGTTAAATCTCTTTATTTATTTATTTATTTATCTGACTTTGTAATAATTAATGTTGATAGCAAACCGCACAAGGAGTTATGAATGTCATAAGGCCACGTCAAACTATCCCAGTCCTACAACGGTAGCCAGCATTTTTGTCATAGGGTTAATTAAATGTAAGAAATATCATACTATGTTCTTGTGGTTATCAGATTCTAAGATTAAAGTGTATGATGTGACGTAATGTAATGTAAATCGTAATTCCTTGATACGAGGATTAGAAATGTGTGTATTCATACAGAGAAAGTTGGGAATCTGTTGTTTATATCATGAGTGATTGCATTAAAAATTATTTGAAACCAAAGAGATCATTGCATGTTGTAACAATCCAAATAACCTCACTACTACATCAGAGCCATTTTGACCTTGCACAAAAGCCATTACATAAAATGTAATGATAATTTCTTTTAATGATACAAAATCATATCACATTGGGTTTAGACTTTAGAGCTCCTCAAATCCTTCTTCATCGCCTTCTTCCTCAACCCTCTGAAATTGCATCCTCCAAGTCTCCATCTGTAAGGTTTACATAACATGTCACAACTTACTTACTTACCCACATTCAAATGGGAGCATGGCATTAATTATCTCTCACCTCATCATCAGAATATCGTAGGTGCTCTGCAACAAAAAGCAGATTATCAGGGATTCCTTCTACCTGTTCTCGACCAAGGCTTCTTGCCACATCATCATAACCTATGATTTGCACTCGAAAACCATAGCTCATGAAAACTTCATACATCCATGTCTCCACATTTAGCTGTCAAAGAAGCCATTAAAATGGTGAACATTACAGGTATAGTAAAAACAGTAAAAAATTATTAGAGTATGAGCCAACCTTTGCCCCCTCATCATTTTCAGTCAACCACAATGGAAATTCACCCACCAACAGACATCCTTTCATGGCTAAATTACTAACCATAAACAGAATCTCCTTAAAACTAGCCAAATTTGTGACTGGAAAACCCTATAGTAAAAAGTAAAAAGGGGCAAGATCAGATGATGATGATGATGATGATGGGATTAGAAGTTAGAAGATGATCGGTTTGTTCACCTGGAAAACCCATATACTTGGTCTGGAACCATTAAATCCTTTATCACGTAAAAGTTGTTGCATATCAGATGACTCCAAAGGAACATGAAGAAGCAAACAGCTTCTTGGAATTTTAGCACCAACATCTATGAATTTCTAAGAAAATCCATCATAAGGATTGTTGCGCATTCAATCAAATATTATCTGATTATCTTAATTGAAGTTACGAACCTTGGAGCTTTTGAGATGCTTTACTGAATACTGATTGTGGTGATACATCATAGATTACAGTTGAAGAAGGCCAATTGAGGCGATAAGCCCTAGTATCCATTCCATCTGTGAACATTACAACCTGCAGAGGCAGAGATGGATGATTCAGGAAGTTTAGGAAATTTTGACGAACTTGGTACCTACTTGTTTAGCTCCATCAGCACCCTTGGTTTCGTTAAGCAACTTATCATCGATAAATCTAGTGCCAATGCAGTAATGGTGATCCGAATTTTTGTCGAGCTCAAGGTCAAGGTCAGGAGGCACAAAGCAGCCAGCGTAAGGATCGACAAAAAGAGGCTCTGCATTATACAATCAAAATTTGAAAAACAAGAATGTTCTTTCCTTTGAGCATAAGGTGTTCGATGATATGCCTGAAAGAGGTGAGTGTTTTACCTGGTCGAATAGCTTCTTGGAAACGATAGGAGGCTCGAGAAATGGCGGATTTGAAGAATAGGTGGTCATGGGCGTCATTTTCGTGGAAGCAGATTTTGGCTGTAACATTGAGGCTGCCATTTTTGTTGTTTCTTTGAACTGAATTGGAAAACAGTGATTGGCGCAGAATAGGAGGAGCTGCTGGTGAGTGTACAAAGCGGTGTCCTATGAAACACTCAACTTCCATGATTGATGATTGAGAGCGAGCTTGTTAATCTGTTCGATCTTCTACTATCTCCTTGCTTCAAGGACAAGTGTCAATTCGCTTTTATATAAACCGTATACATTTTAATGATTTCAAGAAAATAATGAATGATACTCTAACAATTTCATATATTCCCTGAGATAAGCAAAATATCATATTTGTTATGACTATCTAAATACTACTTTATAAAGAGATCTCCTTTATAAACCTTGTAATATTCCGTCGATAAACTAAAATAACATAAATAATAACCGTAACAAAATAAGTGAAATAAAAAATTATTTATAACCGATTATATCACATAATTGATTACTAAACATTTTGAATTTCGAAATCTCTATTAATAATGATAATTTTAAGTGGTTTAGAAGTTGAATTTAAATCCACTAATCTAATAAATAAGTACTAATTCGCCACGTGTCAATCTCCAAGCCCCACATAATCATATTTTCCCGCTTCTTTTACTCAACTGATTTTACCAAAATGGCCTTCAATTCCTAAAAACAATAAATATTCAAATAATATTCAAAATCGGTAATCGGTAATTCAAAATCGGTAATATCCGAAAAATATGGAAGTTTGTTTTTTTAATTGGAAATTGATTAATTTCCAGTGATTTCTAGTGATGCTTTTATAAATGGAATGCGAATGCCAATAAATTATATTTATTACCTTACAAAATTACCTGTAAACGATTTTCAATCTTCAATTTATATCATTTCCCTGAAAATCCCTGAAAATTCCCTAAAGCAAAGGAAAGTAAATCTCTTCACAAAACAGAAATGCACTAAATTCGAAATTTAAATTTAAATCCCAAATAATCAGGTCGAAATATATGCATACACATATATTAATCATCTATCTATACGACTATACGAACTATACGATACAGAATCCACGATTCTGGTTCTGAGTTTTATTTGCAAACGCTATTCTTCTTTAATCTTCACCGACGTCTTCATAACAAAAAGGTGTGTTCTTCAATCATTCTCAGTTTTATCTGTTTACTATATTTGTTAATCTTCTTCAATCTTTCCCAGTTTTATCTGTTTACTATGTTTTAACATAAGGGATTCAATAAATCAAGCTACTATTTTGTTTAGTTGTATAGGATAGAGCATTTGAAAAACTGTTCATCAACTACTACAATACGAAATACTTCAGATTAATGATTTCTTCTCTTTAATCATGGTTCGTATGTGCCGATTGAAATTTCTTTAGTTTGGAAAGTATTTTGACAGGATTTGTTTGCTACATATAATTAAGGGAAAGCTCCAGAAAAGTCCTAAAATTTTACTCTAATTTACAAAAAAATCCCAAACTAAATTTTGTTTACGAAAAAGCATAAATTACCGGTAAAAATGGCGATTTGAGCCATTTTTTTTTCTGGTTTATCGGTTTTATTATTTACCTGTTTCACTAAAGTCCCATTATTTTACCCTAATTTGCGAATAAGTCCCAAAATAAAATTTACTGATGATTTGACCCTTTTCTCTATGTAACATACATATTACCGGCTTCATTGCTGACCCGGACGCCTAGTCATTAAATGAGATGATGAGATGGATATGTTGAGTTATATAATGCTATGTTTAGCATAAAACTTGATATCCTGATGTATTATATATCTTTTTGGAACATAAAATGCATCCAACGAAGACTACAATAATTACACAAACTAACAACAACTGCGTTATTTTTTACGTTTATAAGAAATATCAAATTGTCTATCTAATCTTATGTAACCCATCAGACATCAACTCATTTTTTGCATTTTTTTATTGGAAACACACATTTTATTGGTTTCATTGCTGACGTAGATACATAGTCATAAATAAGCCGATGAGATATGTATCAAATTTTACAGTAAATATGACATTATATAACCCATCGTATTCATCTTATCAGCTAATTTAATGACTAGGTGTCTAAGTCAGCAATAAAACCGATAAAATGTATGTTACATGAAGAAAATGGCCAAATCATCAGTAAATTTTATTTTGGGACTTATTCGTAAATTAGGGTAAAATAATGGGACTTTAGTGAAACATGTAAGTATTAAAACCGGTAAACCGGAAAAAGGGGTCAAATCGCCATTTTTACCGGTAATTCATGTTTTTTCATAAAAAAATTTTAGTTTGAGACTTTTTCGTAAATTAGGGTAAAATTTTAGGACTTTTCTGGAGATTTCCCTATAATTAATGCTGCGATTTTCATTTTTATAAGGTTATTTTGGTTTTTTAATTTTAACCTCTTTGTATCTTTATTTCGAGAAAATTTATACTATTTCATTATATATTAAGGACTAGCATCTGTAACTTTCTCTTATATTATAAACATGTATTTTAATAGGAAATAACATTTTTATCTTTTTGTAAACTTTTTTTATCAACAAAATATTAAATAAGACCATTAATTGTATGCAATTATTTTTTGTATACAAATTTATAATTGGTCTAACCGTTGAATTACTTATTGTTATGTGTTAAGATGCCTAACAGATAACAATATATAATATTTATATGTAACTGTTGAATTACTTATTGTTATCTTAAATCCCCTAATCTAATAAATAAGTACTAATTCGCCACGTGTCAATCTCCAAGCCCCACATAATCATATTTTCCCGCTTCTTTTACTCAACTGATTTTACCAAAATGGCCTTCAATTCCTATAAACAATAAATATCCAAATAATATTCAAAATCGGTAATCGGTAATATCCGAAAAATATGGAAGTTTGTTTTTTTAATTGGAAATTGATTAATTTCCAGTAATTTCTAGTGATGCTTTTATAAATGGAATGCGAATGCCAATAAATTATATTTATTACCTTACAAAATTACCTGTAAACGATTTTCAATCTTCAATTTATATCATTTCCCTGAAAATCCCTGAAAATTCCCTAAAAATAAGAACAAATCTTCAATTAATTTCACGTAATTTTTTAAGGCAAAGGAAAGTAAATCTCTTCACAAAACAGAAATGCACTAAATTCGAAATTTAGATTTAAATCCCAAATAATCAGGTCGAAATATATGCATACATATATATTAATCATCTATCTATACGACTATACGAACTATACGATACAAAATCCACGATTCTGGTTCTGAGTTTTATTTGCAAACGCTATTCTTCTTTAATCTTCACCGACGTCTTAATAAAAAAAAGGTGTGTTCTTCAATCATTCTCAGTTTTATCTGTTTACTATATTTGTTAATCTTCTTCAATCTTTCCCAGTTTTATCTGTTTACTATGTTTTAACATAAAGGATTCAATAAATCAAGCTACTATTTTGTTTAGTTGTATAGGATAGAGCATTTGAAAAACTGTTCATCAACTACTACAATACGAAATACTTCAGATTAATGATTTCTTTTCTTTAATCATGGTTCGTATGTGCCGATTGAAATTTCTTTAGTCTGGAAAGTTTTTTGACAGGATTTGTTTGCTACATATAATTAAGGGAAATCTCCAGAAAAGTCATAAAATTTTACTCTAATTTACGAAAAAATCCCAAACTAAATTTTGTTTACGAAAAAGCATGAATTACCGGTAAAAATGGCGATTTGACCCATTTTTTCTGGTTTATCGGTTTTATTATTTACCTGTTTCACTAAAGTCCCATTATTTTACCCTAATTTGTGAATAAGTCCCAAAATAAAATTTACTAATGATTTGACCCTTTTCTCTATGTAACATACATTTTACCGGCTTCATTGCTGACCCGGACGCCTAGTCATTAAATGAGATGATGAGATGAATATGTTGAGTTATATAATGCTATGTTTAGCATAAAACTTGATATCCTAATGTATTATATATCTTTTTGGAACATAAAATGCATCCAACGAAGACTACAATAATTACATAAACTAACAACAACTGCGTTATTTTTTACGTTTATAAGAAATATCAAATTGTCTATCTAATCTTATGTAACCCATCAGACATCAACTCATTTTCTGCATTTTTTTTATTGGAAACACACATTTTATTGGTTTCATTGCTGACGTAGATACATAGTCATAAATAAGCCGATGAGATGGGTATCAAATTTTACAGTAAATATGACATTATATAACCCATCGTATTCATCTTATGAGCTAATTTAATGACTAGGTGTCTAAGTCAGCAATGAAACCGATAAAATGTATGTTACATGAAGAAAAGGGCAAAATCATCAGTAAATTTTATTTTGGGACTTATTCGTCAATTAGGGTAAAATAATGAGACTTTAATGAAACATGTAAGTAATAAAACCGGTAAACCGGAAAAAAAAGGCTCAAATCGCCATTTTTACCGGTAATTCATGTTTTTTCATAAACAAATTTTAGTTTGGGACTTTTTGGTAAATTAGGGTAAAATTTTAGGACTTTTCTGGAGATTTCCCTATAATTAATGCTGCGATTTTCATTTTTATAAGGTTATTTTGGTTTTTTAATTTTAACCTCTTTGTATCTTTATTTTGGGAAAATTTATACTATTTCATTATATATTAAGGACTAGCATCTGTAACTTTCTCTTATATTATAAACATGTATTTTAATAGGAAATAACATTTCTATCTTTTTGTAGACTTTTTTTATCAACAAAATATTAAATGAGACCATTAATTGTATACAGTTATTTTTTGTATACAAATTTCTAATTGGTCTAACCGTTGAATTACTTATTGTTATCTGTTAAGATGCCTAACAGATAACAATATATAATATTTATATGTAACTGTTGAATTACTTATTGTTATCTTATTGGACAATTTGTTTAAAAAAATGACAATTTGTTTAAAAAAATGTTCTAGAGGGACCATTTCTGTAACATTTCCACGAATTTGAGTTTTTTGCAGTACTAATTTATGATATAATATATTTATGGCATATCATATTTCAGAAAAAAATTTACGAGATTAAATTTCAGATTTTTATTTTTCATTTTGTGCTTCCACATTTTGTTTTGGAAATTAATTTATTTTACTATGATTGCTTTTTTAATGGTTTGTTTCATTCATTTTCTTTCTATAATTAAATCACATGAGTTTTTACTATATACTAATGTTAAATACATTTCTTCTTATGTATATCAATTTTATAAGCAAATTTGACTGTTTTGCCACTACTAATTAATGATATGA